TATCCCATAATAACACATACACTCTCTCTCTTGCCCCCTCCTCCTCTCTCTCCCCCTCTCTCTCGGGTTAAAGTTTAATCGACGTTAACAGAAACTGGGATAATTGTTTCTATGAACTTTCATTAACTTAATTGGCTGCTCATTCCAATCAAATTGACCAATCGCATTTCTTATTAGTCATAATTGACAAATGTGATTGGTCATTTCCGTTGGAATAATTAGCTAGTAAACTAAAATTGGAAAAAACAGACATAAGTTTCAATGTCATAACTTACTTTACTTTAACTTACTTTAACTCGTCTCTTTATTCGTACTTTATTCGTTTAATTAAATTCCATTCTACAATAGGTGTTTTAAGCCCTTAGATTGATTAAATGTAAGAAGAATAACAGTCAACAGTGATTGGTCAATTTCTTAAGGCTTAGAGTTAAATTATCTATTGTAGACCAATAGGACTATTTTGTAAGTTTTAATGACAGTATCATTATCAATTAAAAGTTGAAATAGATAAGAATTGGCTCTAAGATATAAATCAAATAGAAGGAAGAAAAGAAAGGAGCTTATAAGAGCTAGGCACAGATATTGTAGTGCTATTTATATAAGACAAAATTAGTTATAATACAAATATATGTTTCGATCCGATTTGGGTCCTCTTCAGTAAAATTTTTTAAATTAGTACTAGTCAAATGTACAGAGGTTGAGTAGAAACGAAAGAAAAAAAACCAAAAAATGCAATCATTTAACGCAATTAACATAAAATTTCGCTATCAATGGATCAATATAAATGTCGCAAACGTAAATGAAATGAAGATAAATGCTCTTCTCCTCCAACCCTTGCCCTGTCAACGCAGGGCATCTCTGTCCACCAACAATGTTTAAAGACGATATAGTGCAGACTAACATTAAAGAATTAGTCTCCTCAAAGATGCCAATGAGGAGAAAAATTAATTTTGTGCAAATTTAAATAATATAAAAAGAATAAGCAAGCCATGCGCCGCAATTAAACAATGAGAGAGAAAAACAAATTATAGTTATCTAAATACTGTTAAGACATAAGGAATTCGATGTTTACTTGACTTCTAAAGATCCGTTGATGCTGTGACAATGTTAGAGCGAATACTGTGAAGCGATACAATCAAACTCGTATAATAATACCGAAGATCTCAAATAACAAAACTCGTAAAGTAGGGGAAGAATCCAAGATATATATACGTATAAAATTTTAATTTATTTAAGACATCTGAATACCGCTGGCCAAGGAACTCTGTATCTATTTGATTACTAAGACCTTTATTTTTTGTTTTTTCATATATAAGATTTCTGAAATCAAACATTTAAAATAAGAAGATTCAATATCGAGAAGATTTAATACCTACGTTTTCCAAATCAAAATCATAATCGAAATCAAAATCAAAATCAAAATCATAAACCGTAATCAATTTGATGTGCTTTGACTACCGGAATTAAAGGCAAATTATTCGTTAGTGGTCTACGCTGCTTAGAAATTCTTGTCTTTAAAAGTCTCCTATAATAGTTTGATCCACGTATGACATCGCAGTTTATACAATTTATCTTGTAGACAACATTACTGTACATCATCCTCGGCAGAGAATTTTTGTGTACTTTAATAAAATAATTAAGTTTAGCAAGGCCTTTAAAAACTAATTTCGTATTATCAGTATCTATCAAGGATTTGAAACTTTTAGAAATTCCACCTAAATAGGGGATGGTAAAGAAACAGGGTTTCTGATGTGTACAATTCTCATTATTGGTAACTGACATGCTGGAGATTTTTTTGAAAAGAAAAGGAAGACGGCGTTTAATAGTTTTAAATAGCTAATCTAACGGATAGCCATTATTCAATAATGTATTAATGACAAATCTTATGTTCTTTTCGTGGTATTTAGGATGGCTCAAAAGGAAGGTTCTATCAATTAAACTGTAAATGATGCCTATCTTATGACATAAAAAATGAAATGAATGAAAATTGAGAAATCTTCCTGAAAAGGTTGGTTTATGGAACCAATCAAATTCCGAATCTTTATTAGAAATTTTTATTGTGATGTCTAGAAACTTGAGGCAACCATTAGTCGATTTTTCTACAGTAAATTGTATATAAGAATTTGATGATAAGAATTAAAAATGTCTAGAATCGTCTGAATAAATTCAGGAGGAGAAACCAAATAAATGTCATCCACGTATCTGATAAAAAACGAAAGCGGTATAGGGACTCTATTAAGTGCCTTGACCTCCAAATCATGCCTATGTCCGCAATAATAGGAAATAAAGCTTATAGGCTCCTTTCTTCTCTTCCTTCTATTTGATTTAGAGATATATTCTATAACTTTTAACGACATTGTTATGTATCATTGCGCAGATTTTTTGTATTATGAAATAACTGCGCAGCGATACATAACGACATCAATTAAACGTTATAGAATAGGCCCCTTGGTATCGTTATTACGTTATCGTTACGTTGTTGTTATATAGGTATAATACATGGTAGAAAAACTGCGCGGCGACGTCATGCTAGTGACATTATCATTAAGAAGTTATAGAATAGATTTACAGGACTAAAGGGCTGTCCAAACAAAGGAGAATGTTGAAAAATCGCGATTTTTTGCTTATGAGTGGAATCTAAAATTTGGATTCTATATGGTTGAACACATCTTAAATAATACAAAAAAATAGTCATACATTACGTTTAAAAAGTACCTGGAAATGCCATACAACAGTCGCAATATACGAACAGCACTAGCGTGTTTAACCCCATTTCCTCGAGCTTCCAGAAAGAAGTATGACTATTTTTTTTGGTATTATTTAAGGTGTGCTCGACCATATAGAACACGAATTTTTGGTTCCACTCGTAGGTAAAAAATCGCGGTTTTCCGACATCCTCCTTTGCATAATCACATATTATATCTGCATAAGGAAATCAACCAATCATGATCTGTGCTGGAAAAAGATGTCTTTTAGACACGCTATTGATCAATCTCCTTCATATGCATTATACGATAACTTTGTCTAATTTATTTGTATTATGTAAATTTGTCTGGATAGATATTTAATGAAAACTTAAACTCTGGTTAAAGTAAGTTGTAAAACCGGACTTAAACATATTTTGAATTCTCCTAGCAACATGTGTGATATTATTAATATGTGTCTTAATATGTGTATTACATATAAATGGTTCGTAGTTTAAGCATTTAGAAGTTTATAGAACGTTGAGTTTATCTATATATATAATATTCGTATATTACTAGAACGGTTACTTCCCAATAAACCATATACTCACGGAAGAAGTAAAACAGACGATTTGGCTGTTTGGCACATGCGCGACGTTTGTAAGGCAATATAACCTGCGTAGAAGATATATGAATAGGTTTCTTACTGAATATTTTAAAACAACAAGAGAAAAGAAAACCACAACTAAAAAGAATAAGCTTGTTACGTTCTGATTGAATCACACAATAACTAAAAAATTATGCTAAGATGATTTTCTGCGCATCCCCACTCGGTTTTAGTGCATGCGCACAACGCAAATTATTTTGTTGTAGAATAAGATGCGAATATCGTCCACATTATAATATTTTTGAAGATTCTTGAGCTCTGCCAGCAATGTAGGAATATTACATATCGAAACAAGTATATTGCACTTACAGAATCTAAATTTAAAACTTATAAAAATATAAAGCGATCCATTTGACGATTTATAGATTTCGAAGCTTATAGAGTGCGATTCGTTCATATCAACAATTTATCTATTAATGTCATGTGTTGCTGGAATACTTTGAAACATACACTGGATCACATAATATTATAATATTATAAATAAAATATAATATTATAAGTAATATAAATAAAAAAATAGGAGAAAAAATTATCTCTTAGCGTTTTTATTGATAAATGACTAATTCCAAATTAGTAAAATAGTAAAAAATCGTTAAATTTTTGTAAATTTGTAAATTTTTATAAATTTGACAAAATCATGTATATAAGTGTTCTTTGAAGTATTATACAGGGCAGTCGAGGTAAATCCGGAAAGACATCATATATATAAAACATAATTAAAATACAAGGAAAGCATCAATATATTCGTATGTAATGTGGTACAAAGTATCAACGAATATAAAAGAATGAAATTATGCAATGTAGCCTTCATCAGCTTCCACGACCTTCTCGAACCTGGATCTAAACCGGCTGTAGGTATATTTGATCTCCTTGTCCAGATGTGTCATCATCTCCATCATGGAGGACTTCAGAGTATCTTTGGTGTTGTGATGCTTTGCATTGACCTTTGCTTTGACCATACGTAATAATTAAAGGGGTTGCAGTTGGGATTAGAGGGAGTCCATAAGTCAGGAGACCAGTAGTAGGACAAACTGTTATAAAGCTAGGTCTGGGTTTTCCTTTCCTTATGAGCTGGTGCCGAGTCCTACTGGAACACATATTCTCTTCCAACGACTATCTCATCCATCCAGGTCATTACAACCGTCCCTAGCACGTTGATGTAACCATTGGCGTTCACCTTCAGACCCTCCTCGAAGATATGGAGCACCATGATGTCATCAGACATTGCTTTCCTGTATATTATCCGGTCAGCAGTAACTTTCTCCTTGTTGTCGGACTCTCTGAACTTCTTGGCTATGGCATAAACTTGTGTCTTTTTGTAACCAAACTATGCGATTATTTCCGTAAGTAATTTGCCGGCGCGAAGCGTTTCGAGTATCACCGTTCTCCGCTCATATTCTCGATTCATCACTGGTTATTAATTATTAGGTGATTGTTTCTTGAATGACTTTATCGTGACGTGCGCGATATGTTTTCAAAATCGATGCTAACGTCATCTCTATAAGTAAACAAGTTAAATTTCCGGATTTATCTCGACGGCCCTATAAATATTCTAAGAAATATTGGTTACTATCTTAATATTATCTGTGAAAGAATGTGAAAGAAAAGATATGAGTAAAATTTGATAATTTTTGTGACTTACATAATAGGTGCGGCAGCAGGTGCTATTGCGGCTGCAGTGACAACTCCTCTAGATGTTTGTAAGACAGTGTTAAATACACAACAAGACGGTGCAAAAGCTCAAGGAATGATAGATGCATTTAAGCAGGTTTACAGGCACGGCGGCATAAAAGGGTACTTTCGAGGTTTATTTGCCCGTGTTTTATTTCAAGCACCAGCCACTGCCATTTGTTGGATGATGTAAGTTAATTATTTTTTTAATTTATATATTTAATTTTGTTATTATTGTTATTATTTAATTATTATTATTATTAATATATCTTATTTTATTTCTATACTTTCTATCCAATTTCTTTTTATTTGCATCGCGTAATGCTTTTCAAATTATGTCTTGTATGACAGATATGAATCATTCAAGTATACTTTGCGTGGCCAAAAAGATAAGGAGCACGACGGTACCGATACAGACAACGGCGCAACAGGAATTAATCAGAATTCTCCAACACTTGCATCCAGATCTAATAGTTTTCAAGGTGCAGGTCTGTACTTCAACAATCACACCTCGTCACCCGTATTATTTAAAGTGACTACGAGTTAGATACGCGAGAAATTGTATTAACAGGCGATCGCTCGAGAGAAAGAGAGTGACATGCAGGAAGACATACAGCAGAGAAGGAAAAAGAGAAAGACGGCTATCGTGTTTTCTATAATACAAGAGTTTATCGACAATTATAGTATTTTATTGATTCGTTTAATACACAATGGCATTTCTATATGCGTATTTAAGTCACTACGAGAGGAATTTCGACGTTTACTGAAAGACGATGTCAAATAAAGACAGTCTAAATTGACATGATAATTTTTTGAATAATGATGATGATGAAGGATATTGCTTCATATAAGCTGCATTCGGAGAGACACTATTTGGCGCTAAAAGCGTCTTCTGTCCCTGTTCAATTTTCAGTAAGTAATAAGGATTCCTTTTAGCTTTTAGCGCCAAATAGTGTCTCCCCGAATGCAGCTATAATAATATTAATGTTACATGCTAAAGCAGATGATGATCTTATGTCACATATTTAACTTATTTGTTGAATTTTAACTATATCCAGTAAAAAATGATTAAGTTCAACATACAAAAATATAAATATAGAAGTAAACTTTATTTGATCACACTTTATATTGCCATATTGTATAATCTTTTAATAGATACAGTTTTCAGCATATACGCGGGATCAGTATGAAAATATGATATTGTTTTAGAATAACCGCATAAAGTGATTTTATTAATTAGCAACTTTAAGTTTGGTGAGATAATCATTAATCATCTATTTCATCTGTTTTCATTATGTAATCATTATGTATTCATTAGTAATCATCTGTTTTCATTCTGTTGGTTACCAACAAATGTATAAAATTCAAATAAAATGCTATTATCTATTGTACTATTCATATGGAGTATCAATGATAAAAGTTTATAACGTTTAAGAAAAGTGATATAATGTTACTCCGAGTTTTTGCTTCCGTTACCTATTTCCTATTGCGTAATGACATTTTTGCGTTTATTTATAAATCAATTTATATACTTTATTTACACTCTAATATGTATATGCGTAATTTATTCAAGTACATATTTGAATAGTTAATAATTCGTTTTATAGTAATTGAAACAGGTTATATATATATATATATATATACACAGGGTGCGGCGCAAAATCAGGACAAATTATACATTTTTTCCAAATATATTTTTTATTGCAAAAACAAAAAGGTTTACAAAATTTTTTGAACCACATTGTAAGGCCATAAAGAACACATTTACTCAATATATCCCCCTTTATATATATATATATATATATATATGTATGTATATATATATATATATATTATATATATATATATATATATATATATATATATATATATATATATATATATATATATAAAGGATATCAAGTAAATTTCTATTTTACAAATGGACTTATGCTTGTAAACCAGATCACCAGTGAAAATATGATGTTAAATAGTATTACGTTGCTTCTAGTTTGAAAATTCGGTATTTTGGGACAAGAAAAAAGGCTTAATACTCCATTTGAATAGTAAACATAGATTATGCACATACCATAATTAGATTGCGACCCACTACAATGTACTATTGTACAATTAAGTAAGTTAAGAACAGTGGGATGCATGCAAGAATTTTATCAATAATAAGCTGTCTTAAATGGTAATTAAACTGGCATAATTACTGTTATATATATAATTCAGAATAATTTTGTAAAATTAATTTTTTAAATGCAAAATTAGACAACCTGTAATCATTATTAACGTTATAAGATCGTTTAATATTTAGCATCATAAGATTGTTGAAAACAACGAGATCTTAAATTTATGTAAAATATAACGTCATTGAAATATAACGATGTACAATTTTTAGTTTAAACTGTAGATATAAAGAGGAATTGGAGTTATATATAGGATACATACATTTGACTATCCAAGAATTTAGAAAAATTACAAAAACAATTATTTTATAGAAGATTGTAGATAAACTAATATTACATACACATACACACACATTCATATACGTGCGTGTGTGTGTGTGTGTGTGTGTGTGCGTGCGTGCGTGCGTGCGTGCGTGCGTGCGTGCGTGTGTGTGTGTGTGTGTGTGTGGGGTATAAGAAAGAGAAAATGAGAATCCAGAATAGATAAAACTATTATTTGTACAAGTACGTGATTCTCTCTCCTCTTGATTACACAAGTACAAATGATAAAATGCTCCTTAGTCATCGTGTAATATAAATAAACCTTATATATCACAATATTGCTTCCTATGGCTGTGATTACTGAGTCATTTGATGTTGACTTTAAGAGGGAGTAATATCATGTAAAACTCATATTTCACGCCATACTTTTATTTATTGTTACAATTGTGTAATACCATATATTGTTACCAGGAAGAAATGTTATTGAAATACAATATTCATGTGTATAAGAGAATTATGTACGTAAAAACAATATATAATTTAAATAATTTCATATAAATATGATGTGTTTAAGTTAAAGTTGATTTAAAAATTACAAAAATTGCTTTTTTTCTTTTTCTTTTCTTTATAATTTTTATGTATTTTAAGAAATCAGAGTCAATGTATGATTGTAGAATGTTTTTACTGGACTTAACAATATATATTTGAGAATGCTTTGTTTATTCTTGACTTTGGCTGCGTTTGGGGAGATGCTATTTAGCGCTATGAGCGTCCTCTGTCCTTGTTCAACTTTCAGAAACAAACAAGGATAGAGCACACTCATAGCTCTAAATAGCGTCTCCCCGAACGCAGGGTTTAATATATATATATATATATATATATATATATATATATATATATATATATATATATA